CCTCTTCTTCTCTTTCTACCAGCCATTCACAAAGAAGCTGTCTTCACACCAACTTCTCTCCAGGTATACGCTCTTTGAAACATTCACCAGAGTAAAACAAAAAAATATATGAAAAATAACACATTTTCAAGCTCCTCATAACACTCAACTTTAAACTTTTAAACATTTTTTTAGTATTTTCTTACATTTCATATAGTTTGTAAAACTCCAAGCTTCATCTCCCATCAATTACACTTTTTGTTTCAAGCCAATCGAATGAACACTGCAAACATTCGCAAACGAACTCTTTTTATTTTTTAATTAAGAAATTACTTTTCTTTCTTCACTTTTTCATATTATTCGTCTGTTTCTCTCTTTCCACGTGAGAGTTCACGTGAAACGTCAATGATTCTACGAACGGTGTCGGTCAATCATTTTTTCGTTTTGTCGGCTTTCCAAGCGGTTGTTCTCTCATACATATCTTACTCTGCTCACTTTCCGGCTTCTTAATATCCAAGTTTTCAAGTCTGTCGTCTTTCTTGATTTCCAAATGCTCGTTCAAATTAAGAATTTAAAGGATAAGCTGTAATCAATGCTAGAAAGCCTTCATTGGATGTCTGGTTGTAAGAAAGAGAAGAAGCTAAACAATAAAAAACAGAATAATTGAATTATTTCATCAATGCCTTAACGGATATATCCCTCCCGGCTATTGTGTCAGCGAACTGAAAAGCCACACAGCTTCATTAACAGCTTTAACGTCTAAACGTATTCGGCAACTTTAAAAGATAATTAACCTTTTTTTTGGCCACAAAATTAAGTTCGTTAGCAAAATAGGAGGCACAAAGGCTTGAAATTAGCATAAACGTTACATTCAATTTTCGTCTTTACTTCATCTCTCTCCTCATCTACTACTACTATCCGCTTGCTTGTCTTCTGCTTCTACGTCTCATCTCTACACAACTTCTTCTTTTCATCATCTATTTTTCTTTTGTTCTAAAGCGATTCTTACTAAGGATATTTCTATATTTTTTCCATTTCTTCCTCATTGATGACAACAGACGTCATCCGATCTGCTGTCAGAATCTCTTTTAGCTTGTATGTAAGACGGACACGAGAAATTTCCGTCTCTCACGCTATGTAATCTGAAAGAAGACGATGATTGCCTGAAGTTCATTTTCCAAACTCAAACTTTCGGCTTTTTTCTTCAAAAATTGTTTCCAAGCCCAATATGACAACTCAAACCATCGCACACATAAGCTTTTTGTCTGAATTTCATTGAAGCCCGTCCACGTTGCTTGTTCATAGTATTCTTCAACAGTCTCCACGTCCCTTATTTCAATCCTTCTCATCTCATTTACAATTAATTCATTTTAGACAATGTTTTTGAATTGCATTTCTGAGAGAAATGAAATGCGATTGTTTTGTTTCAGTTCAATCCTCTCCTTCTGTGTTTTCTTCTTTTCATTTCATTTTCGTCTACAACTTCACCTCTAAAAGGTTTTTTTTTTTTTTTTTTGGACCAAGTACACCTTAAGCCCCTTCTAAAGCTTCTCGTTAATTCATGTCTTTTAATGCTTAATAGAAAGCCCTTTGTTCACTTTCTTCAAGAATCTCGTCGCCAACCACGGAAAATGACTAAAAATATGTTGATTCTACACGTATAATATTCAATTTTTGTTATTCTTCATGATTCATTTTGTCTTGTTAAATTAAAAAATAATATAATATAACTATAAATAGACGTTTGCTCTATCGCTCATTGGCCCCTCTCTCTTTTCATTTTTCCCTTACTTGCTCCCTCTCTCTCTCTCTCTTTCTATTTTTATTCTCTTTTAAGAAACTTCATCGTTATTTGATACTTTTCTTTCTTCCTTTTACATTTATTTTTTGTCTTTTTTTTTCAGTTTTATCTGCTTCTAGTCAGCTTTCACTGCTTTAATCTCATAAAGGCAAACTTTGCCAACTTTCTCCTTCTCATGAACTCGCCTGCATATCCCAATAAGCTATTCCAAGCAATTTCTTGTTTGTTCTTTTGTCTTGCTCTTCTCATCTCATCCAATAAAACTGATTTTGCTTTTCTCGCTCGTTCTTGCAGTGAATGTTCAAATTCGTTTTTTTCTTATAGAGCTATTCCAATCTGATTTTCAAATTTCTATATTGCCCGCCACATATCAATGACTGCCTTAGGTGAGTTTATGCAAATTAGCTTCACATAAATTCCCACGTGAAAATTTATTTTGCGTCATCGTCATACATTCAAAACGGTTGAATTTCGCTGCAGCAGAAAAAACAACATTTTGTCTTGCCATTACTTATGTTTCGTTATGTTTCAGATTGTCCGCCAAATTATTCAGGACTGAACTGTGATTTGCCCATATGTAATCATCAAGGTTATTTGGATTTGGTTAACAAAGTTTGTGTTTGTTGGAACAATTATGCTCCGCCATTCTGTCGTACATGTTTGCCAGGTGATTCTATCACACAGTGCTTTGATCTTTTAACATGTGATATCGTTTGGTTACAGGTTACTGGGGAGCTGAATGTAACTTAAAGAACATTGTGCCAACAGAAGTATCTGATTTAATGCATTCAACCATTGGAGACTCAATAGTTATCATGATTATTATATGTCATTTTATATGCGCTTGTTTATTGGCTTATTGGTAATCTGAAATTCCTTTTTTGACCTCCACTCACATTGTTTTTCTTCATTTGAAGGCTGTTCAAAGATTGCTCATTGCCCAAAGTGGAGCTCAGTGATGATCCACCAACCTATGAAGAAGCAGTTAATGGTTATTAAGCTGTTTCGTTAAGATTAAAAACTATATTTTTGTTATTCTTGCAGGAAGTGATGGAAGATTACTAGCAGAAAGTCAATTTCATCAAAAAACAAAATCCCAATATCTTTTTGGCTTTTTTCTTTTGTTTTTCATTTCTTTAAGTACAGTCATGTGTGTAGCATTCTATTTATCGTATTCAAATAGAAATGATTTGTAAGTTTCATTCTTACTTCCATTCGAAGCCATTTGGATTTTTTCATTCATTTCAGAGAAATGCCATCGTTCTTAGCTAGTGTACTTGTTGGAGTGAAGTATGCTCTATTCTCTTTCACCTCAACGTTTACAATAGGAGTGTATGTTTCATATGTTCTTTCATACAAATTCTATCTTATCCTTTATTCAGAATAATTCTATTCTATGTACAATTCATTCGAATTTTGGAGATAACCAAGACTATATGGATTCCTCGAGTTCATGGCGTTTCTTGAACTTCAAGATGGAAACACATAAACAGCAATAAAACTCAGAAACTTTTTTCTCTTTCACTTTCTTCACAACTAATTGCATATGTTGCCTTTGTCACTCATATCACAAACGAAAATAAATGACCCTAAGGTAACTATTTTCAAAACAAACCTGACAGTTTTTTTATGAATTACATCTTGTACCTACATCATAACATGAGTAGCTGTTGTTTGATGAATCTTCGACAACAATCTCGCAAATCTAAACAACACACAGGCTTCACTGCTTGATGGATCGCAGTATCTGGCGGAAAGTGTTCTTTGAATACTGTGTCCAGTATAATTTGTAATTCTCAGTGAATGTTCTTTTCTCTAAGATAATCAGTGAGATATATTTCGGATGATCTGACAAACGACAAAACAATTGATCCTTCGTTGTGTGCATGGGAATGCAAACTCTGGTGAATGTTTCAAAGAGCGTATACCTGGAGAGAAGTTGGTGTGAAGACAGCT